GACAAGGGGATTGAGTGCACCCTCAGCAAGTTTGCAGATGACACTAAGCTGGGTGGAAGTGTTGATCTGCTCAAGGGCAGGAAGGCTCTACAGAGGGACCTGGATAGGATGAATCGATGGCCTGCAGGCAATTGTATGAGATTCAACAAGGCTGAGTGCCACACTTGGGTTGCCACAACCCCATGCAGTGCTACAGGCTTGGGGAAGAGTGGCTGGAAAGCTGCCTGGCAGAAAAGGACCTGGGGGTCCTGGCTGACAGCCGGCTGAGTATGAGCCAGCAGTGTGCCCAAGTGGCCAAGGCCATCCTGGCTATCAGAAATAGTTTGGTCAGCAGGACCAAGGAAATCATCCTTCCCCTGTATTCAGCATTGGTGAGGCCACACCCCAAATCCTGTGTTCCGTTTTGGGCCCCTCACTGCAAGAAGGACATTGAGGCACTGGAGTGTGTCCAGAGAAGGGCAAGGAAGTGGGTGAGGAGTCTGGAGAACAAGTCCTGTGAGGAGCAGCTGAAGGAACTGGGATTGTTTAGCCTGGAAAAGAGGAGGCTGATGATTCGATGATTCTATGATATCAACTCTACCAGAGGGTAAAGAATGAAAACTTTGAATAATTTTAGTATGTGTAAAGAAAGACTTTCCACTTCAGTGAACAAGTAAATCTTGTTTATTCATACTACATAGCACACATTAACTTTATTTGTTACAAGTTACGTGCTGCAGGAGTCCATGTTCTCTACAGGTAAACCCAGACATTTTCCTCACAGCACAGAATTGCCAACATTTAAGCCATTTTCTCTAATCTTAGGTTAGAAATTCCATACTCCATTTTCAAACCACAGTAGGAACCTGGAGTCAGTCCTTCAATTTATTATTTAAGAGGAGAGCAACTTTTCAAAAGCATCAATACCTTGGTGCTCATGTATCATCAACGTTTCTACACCAGCGAAATGTGGAAAGCTGGTCTGGTCTCAAGTTCTTCAGCAATATGCATTGCCATTACATCCACCTAAGAAAAGGTCATCTGCCATCCTAGACCTGCCTATCTCTTAGGGTATGGGAACAAAGAAGCTTCCTCATGATACACACCCTTACAGCCAGATATTTTACACATAAATATCTGCTCACGACATTTAATGAAACATTTAAATAGAAGAAAGGACACCTGGTTACATATGAACTATTTCTTCATTTGCCTCACTGATGGTCTTACTGTTTCAGGCTTTTCCCTCCTCTAGTTCATTGAGATTAATAAGCATTTTAGAAGCTGTATGTAAATATTTCATCTAGTAAGCATTCAGGATCCTCAATGCAAGAAAAGGCTAATGCAATAATAAAAAAAAAGAGCAGCAAATTCTAGCAGTTTTTATGCTTGAATATTAGATACTTGACATTTCTCTGCTACCAGCTACTCACTGGTGTTGCTAAGCAGGAAGTTTTTCTAAGTCTACTCATACTCAAATTTAATATAAAGTTCATTTTAAATCACTGTTTTCTCTGTTCAGAGCACAATGAAACACAGTCACAAAGTTTCAGTCCATCTTTCATAGTCTAAAGATAAACAACCTTGTGACATGCTACAGTAAGTCTCACAAACATACTTTTGTTAGCAAACAGCTTAAGCAGCCTACCAGAACTACCTACCCACTCAGTAAGCAACAAAGAGAGTAAAAAACAAAAAAGTACTTTATACAGCAGTAGACACAAGTTAATCAAAATGACTGCTTAGTTAAGGAAATAATTTCCTCTCAATTTAATTCGAATTATTATATGTCAGTTCAAGAGTCTAGTTCTCAAGTAACAACAAAAAAATTAGCTGGTAACAACAGCTTGTCAAGGAACTTTTGCTTGAGTTTTAGTAACCTGACCAGGAAAGTTGCTTCAGAAAATTTGAGAGTAAGCAGACAAATACATGAACTTTTCAGTGAAATGGGATATTTTGAGTCTTAAAAGCCCATCTTTTCTACTCTCAATCAGGTGTTTAGATACAAAGCTTCCACAGGAGCTAATCAAAATTAAAGGATGGGTGAGAAGTTACTTAAAACTAGGGATCACTGAAGTGTTGTTCATACAAATTCAAATGAAAAATGGGATTAACTTCCAGACTCCAAGAAAATATGTTTTTCAGATCCTATCAGTGTTATTAAGAAGCAGTACATTTTTTCCAGTATATTTTTCCTACAAAGTCATATATAAATTATAGGATATAGTACTAACCACTCAATTTGGAAAATAAAGAAACAAGACATTTGGAGACATTATTTAAGAAACATTAACGATAACCAGACTGAAAACTGGATTTGGACATTTCTGGTTTATGTTTAATTACATCAAACACCTATTTATGTGCATACAGCACTTTACCAAGGCTTCTGGTGTATTTTAGTAGGAACAGATGCACCTCCACACCTACAACATTCTTCACACAAAGCTGCTACTGTATTATGAAGACAACAGAATACTGGACTGGAAAAAATGCTAGGAACCCATGATTTTCTGAGATTTAATTACATACTTTTAACTTCAGTCCAAGCTATTGTTACAAGACTGCATTATCTTTGGCTGTTTTCCTTGCCTTGTCTTGATCATGGTATTTAGTTGCATACTACAAAGAGAATGCTTTTAAATAATGTACTGCTTTAATATATTAAACTGTTTGATGGTTTATTTAGAAGTGAGGTGCCACAGTATTTCCCTATCCATTTAAGAATGAAATCAACTGCTATTTGTCTTGAATACTGTGAACACTACAGAGCAAAAAGGAGTATGTGAGAAACTAGAAAAATGTCAAATAGCCATAAAACTGCAAACTACACATGCTAAAAAAATCCACCAGGTTAGGAACAGTCAAGTCCAGTGTTATTACATTAGGACAGCAAGATTCAAATCAAACTTCTTGTCAGTTAGCTTGTCAATCATTTCTACTTCCTACTTGTAGACATACTTTTCTTCAGTTTATATAAGGTTCCAGAACACGACTCACTCTCATTTAGCAATAAGCTGAGAGATAACTTTAATAAAATAATGAAAAAAGCATTCATTATCCCAACCCTAACTTAAGAGTAAATATTGCAAAAATTGGGGAATGAAATTATCCAAGACACCTCTCACTCCACTCCTTTAAAACAGAGACCTGGTACAATTTAGTGTTTTGTTTTTTTTTTAAAGAACCACCAAATTCTTGTAAAGCATGGAAGTTTAAAACTCTTGAAACCAAAATCAGTTATTAAGAGAAGCATTTTTTTTTTAGTGGAAGAACTGCATAATTAATCAGGCTTCTTCACAAAGAGAGGTCACTTTTGAAATGCTATAACTCACATTCCTCAGCACTCAATGATCTGAAAAGGAGGTTGAATAGATTACTTCAGTTTACCAGCAATACCAGACAGAAAAAGAAAAGCAAACAGATACTTCGTGACAGGGGCTGTGCAGTAAAGCAGGAGAAGAAAATGCAGTGTTGATAAATAAACAGGGGTTTTTTGTGACACAGAAGAACAATTCCAAATTTACACAATGACAAACTCTATAAACTACTGCCACTCAATAGTTCCATATTACAAATAGGTGGTTCCATAAAATTATCAGCTCAGAACTCAGCAACAGTTAAGGGCAGCCTTAGAAGAGGGAGAAGAACAGCATGAAAAAGACTTCCCTTTGAGGTTGTGCAGAGCAGAGTTTGAGACGGCATTTGGGTTTTTTCCTCATTCATTCCTGCATGGTAGTATGCAGTGACCCAGCCTGCATTTCTGCTTATCTGGACTTCAAATTAAGTTCTGCATTTCACCAGCTAAATCATTCACTAAACCCAGTCTGAATTCTAGCCCAGGATTATCAAGTTCCATGTCCCCACAATCCCATACCTGAAGACCCCCATGCCTGTAAAACAGTTTGTGAAATGCCAGCACTACGGATGTGTAATCCAGCAACTTGTTGAGCATATCGTCTTGAGACATTTCTCTCTGGTACTGCAATAGTAACAAATTGCAGTATTTTTGGCTCAAGAGTACTCTATGGTTAACTTTTTATTTTTTCACTATACTACAAAAAAAGAACCCTGGTTTTGCAACTTAATTTTGTATGCTTTAATGTTATCTCTGTATCAAAGTGAAGGCAAAATGCCAAACTATAAATGGACTAATAATCTACTTGAGATTTTTTTTTAAGAGAACCATTATCAAAAGGCAGCACTTCAAGTTTAAGAGCACATATTGCTTATTGTAAGGATTGGCCAATAAAATGTGAAAATTTCTAATTATACACAGTACTTAGATAAGCAATACTGCAAGAAGCTCAAAGTAAAAATACCTGCCTACTTAGATATCTATCTTAATTTGTATTCCTGTAACACCTGTATAACCCAGATGCAGAAGTTGCATTGTGCTAGGTTTTGTACCTGAAAACATAATGATGCTTCTTGTGCTATGTACTTTAAAAATACCTGACCCTCAAGCCCTTTGAGTAAGATGACATTAGTCAAGTTCATTGGAAGACATAAGGAATAGATCAGGAGAGGTGAACCAAAATGCTAATGAGAATTAGGGACTTAAAAGACAAGTAGAAAAAAGCCAGTAATCAGAGACAGTAAAAGCTGCCAAATAATGAAAGAGAAGAGCCTAAAACCAGAATGACAGTCTTAAGAGTCAATTCTCCTAGGTTAACAAGTTTAACATCTAGAACAGATAAGAAACAATTAAATTATCAGTGAGAGAGGATGGACAAAGCCTTTAAGAAGTTGCTCAAGCATAATGCAAGCTTTTTCTTTTTCAAGCTAGAGTGCTCAAGAAAGGTTCACAGTTGCCAGCTCCCAGTTCTCTAAACTATCTATGAAGAACAAGCAAATCCATTCCTTTGAAACATGTTTAACACACAGCTTCAATCTTGTAGCTTTTACCTGTCATAAATACTTTGACTACCTCAATGACTGTACAGGGAGGCTTACAACATTCTACAAGCACCACCAGATCTAATGCAGGAGTGAGAACGGAAATGAGGAAAAAAACATACCTTGTGTTGTTCTATTACGTCTACCCACTGTTGTCTGTGGTCTGGGTCCTGAGCTCGGAGGTACCAAACACTATCGTTTACACTAATATCAAATCTGCATTCGTCAAAGTCATGGGGCTGTGACAGAAAAGAGTGTAAGAGTAGCTAAAGTTAGCAACATCGTCAACAATATCTCACAGAATATTTTAACACTCTGAACACTGTAATTAGAAAACGTGGACTATATTGTCTTGAATTCATCCCAGATTCTAAATTCTGGTTAATGCAGCTGTCTCAAATAATTAACATACACTCTCATAATGAAAAATGAGCGTCTTCTGAAGTAGAAAAGCCTGTTTAATACATTCTTACTAAGCAAAATTGTCACAAAAAAGTTCCAGACAAACGTTGACCAAAACATCACACTTCAAAACAAATCCTTTAGCAAAATAACTACTGAACAGAGACAGGAAAATACACCTTTTTTTCATTTCAAAGCTGAAAAAAAAATTAAGGTTATTGCTATCAGTATTGAATTTACATGGAAGGAATACATACATTATGGCAAAAAGCACCAGGATGGAACCATAAAAGCAGACTATAGCAAAATGACAAGGAAGAGCAGGAACTAAAGGCAGATGTGGCACTGTCTGCCTCAACTATTTTCACCGTGTAAGACAGGATTGTCAGGTAATTGGGAGCAACATGCAATCCTTTCCAATATCACCACTCAAACGCATCTAGCTTTCAGTTCACATGTCTCAAATACAAAAAAGCTTTTACTGACATTACAGTGAAGCAATGGTGAGGAAATTACAGGGAAGCAAAACAACAATCTAATCTGCCCTGTGCCCTGACACTGTCAGCTCAAAGCTACTCCTTAGCAAACATCCAATTGAGCACAACATTCCCTACTCCCCCTTGCCTTGAAACTATTTTTAAAGAAACATAACACAGGTATAGCTGAATACCTTTTTGAATTTGAATACAAAGAAAAGTTACATATGCAAATAACCACAGGAAGCTAACAGGCTCTAAGGTTAAGGCAAATGACATGATCTGAATCACAGAATCATAGACTACCAGGTTGGAAGGGGCCTCAAGGATCATCTGGTCCAATCTTTCTTGCCAAAAGCATGGCCTAGACAAGATGGCCCAGCACCCTGCCCAGCCTAATCTTAAAAGTGTCCAGTGTTGGGGAATCCACCACTTCCCTGTGGAGATTATTCCAATGGCTGAGTGTTCTCATTGTGAGAAATCTTCTGGTGTCCAATCAGAATGTTTCCAAGAGTAACTTGTACCCATAATTCCTCCCTTTTCCATGTGACTCCTTGTAAAAAGGGAGTGTCTCCACCTTCTTTGTAGCCACCCTTTAAATACTGGAACACGGTGATAAGGACTACAAAGATTGATTCCAGATGCTAAAGACAAGTCCACATGTGTTAGTAATATCCCTTACAATAAAGCAACCACTCTCTGAATATCTTGATCTTGCAGACAACTGAAGCACTGTGGATCACTTATGAAACACTCCACAAAAGAAAACCTAGAAGTGGGTCTCATTTGTTGGCATGCACAACAGTCCAGTGTCAGCAAGAATTATTTTCAAAGGATCTGGAAATCAGAAGCACTTACACATAATACACAATCTTTTCTATTTAAAAATACTAAGGAGGAAGAAAAGCACAACAGAAGCCAAACTACTGCAGCTACTAATTACTTAATACCTGACCATCTCAATTCAATTCAAACAACTTTCAAAACTGGTTCTATATACTGCTTTGCTTTCACTGAACGACTGAACACAGGGAGGTAAGAAGGGACATGTGGTGGGTTGACTGTGGCTGACAACCAGGTGCCCGCCAAGCTGCTCTATCACTCCCCTCCTCAGCTGGACAGGGGAGAGAAGATATAACAAAAGGCTTGTGGGTAAAGATAAGGACACTCACCAATTACCATCACAGGTAAAACAGACTCAGCTTGGGGAAATTAATTTATTGCCAGTCTAAATCAGAGTAGGATAATGAGAAATTAGAACAAAACTAAAAGGACTTTCTCCTCACCCCTCCTTTCTTCCCAGGCTCAACATCACTCCCAATTTTCTCCACCTCATCCCCCCAAGCGGTGCAAGGGGACAGGGAATAGGGGTTGCAGCCATTTCACATGTTGTCTCTGCCGCTCCTTTGTCCTCACACACTTCCCCTACTCTAGTGTAGGGTCCCTCCCACAAGAGACAGTCCTCCATGAACTTCTTCAACATGAGCCCTTCCCACAGGCTGCAGTTCTTCACAAACTGCTCCAGCATGGGTCCCCTGAAGGGCCATAACCTGCTCCAGCATGAGCTCCTCTCCCCACGGGTCCACAGGTCCTGCCAGAAGCCTGCTCCAGCACAGGCTCTCCACAGCATCACAGCCTCCTTCAGGCATCCATCTGCTCTTGTGTGGGATCCTCCCCAGGCTGCAGAGGGACAGCCTGCCTCACCATGGTCTTCACTACAGGCTGCAGGGGAATCTTTGCTCCAGAGCCTGTAGCACCTCCGCCTCCTCCTTCACTGGCCTTGGCATCTGCAGGGTGCTCTCACATTTTCTCACTCCTCTCTCCCAGCTGCTGTTGTGCAGCAGTTTTTACCCTTTCTTAAATATGTTATCACAGAGGTACTACCACCATCACTTTAGCTCAGTTTCAGCCACCATCTTTGGTCCATCTTGGAGCCAGACAGAACTGGGACTGTCAGATACAGGGGCAACTTTTGACATCTTCTCACAGAAGCCACATGTCTAGTCCCCCACCCCACCCAATACAGAACATCAAGTCTTCTAGTCCAGACCCCTCTTCTTCAAACTACATTTGCTATATTATTATTATTACTATATGAGAGAAAGATGTTTATCTGCTTTAGGGTAGCAAACCTGCCACATCCATGCGTCAGGCTTACATGCCTGTTCCCAGTAACCCACCTGCCAGGCCCTCCTTTAGCCATGTGGTGGGGTACGTGTATGTACAGCAATGGAAGATTCTCCCAAAAATCCCCCAAAAAGCAAGTGTACAAGAATTAGCTATCAAAGTTTTTTCCTGCCATGACAGCATTCCTCTGCAATCTCTGCAGCCCTTTGGGAGGAGTTAAAAGCAATTACATGCTATGCAGTTAGAAAGACTTGCCAAAATTAATCTTAAAAGTCTGCAGTACTACTGATTCCACACTTCCATACACAACTTACTCTACTGCACAATCATTCTTGCCTTCCCCCTGCCTTTCCTAACCTAAACATCTTCCAATGTTATTTAAGACCATCACATCTCTGCCCTTTTCAAAGGCAGCTTTATGTATTCCCTTTCTTTGCATAGCAACTTTCAATATATTTGAAAATCTATGCCTCGTTGCTAAGACAGGGAAGAGAAATGTTTTCCTTGAGGTCTAGCTAAAACCTTTAAACACTTTTCTGGGCCATTCACTGCATTCACTCTTCTGCATTACCTATAGTTAAGAGACCAGGCCACCTATAAATCAGGTCTAGGGTTATACTCAGCTCACTGTGCGGTTTCATGTTACAAAAAAGCCAGCTGATCAGGTGCGCTCACATTAGACAAGTTGCTTAAAGATAAGAAATATCCACTAACAAGCCTAAATAATGCTTCAAAAGGAAGTTAGGCAGATGATACAAGATTCGCTCTTGACAGATACGTTTTACCTATCTACCATCTCATAGTACTTATTAATCATCTATTTTCCATATTTTGATAACTGATTTCAGAGTCATTATTTCCCCCCCTTTCCCTCTGCTTTTTTTTTTTTTTTTAAAAAAAGACAGGCTCCACTGTAAGAACCCCGAATTAACTGAACATGAGAGGCAAGCTCTCAAATACATATTTTACCAAGAGCAAAAAGAACACCTGAATCACATGTGACCTGTTCTTAACACAGAACAAATCAAGTTGTTGTTAGCCCTTTTCTGAACCAGGAATGAGTTCACATTTCATCTTCATTGATAATTTGGCAGATTTCAGTATGTAACTTTCCAGTATCATCTGCTACATTCTCCTCCCCACTGAGTTATGCACAAACTTCCTTGGCTTCCCTTTTGTTATAAATGCTTTTATTGTTCTCTGTAGCTGCATCTAGCAGAGATGACAAGGCGTTAATTCAGCACTTCTCAGTTCTGTCCTTTATTTATTATTCTAACATCCTCCTCAGACCAGTTTGTGCCTCTCCTTACACTTCCTAGAGGTTTTTCCACTTCTCTTCACTTTCTTCCTGTAGATCTCTACTCATTTAATTTAGATCTCCTTTTTTCTGAGGTTCACTGTTTCTAGCCTAGTGTTCACTTTCCTCCTTTTGCTCCAAAGCGACTGTAAAACAGTACGGTTCTTGGCCAGCCACCTGACAAGACACTGGAGGATAAATAGGGATTTTCATCCGTAACAAGCTAAGGACCTGTGCTGAGGCCAGCATACATCCTACTGCCCCTTCACAATGAAGATAAGGTGAGAAAGAGGGATGTTTTAATGATGCAGGGAAGCAGTAGGAGTTCACTATTACCCTGAGGATCTAAAGCAGGTTGGAGAACTTCAGCTGCTTTTCCTCCTGAGAACACCCCCATTCCACAGCAGCATACATGCATAAATTGACAAGGCACTGGGGAACAAAACCCAGACTGACATGACACTCTCAATGGGAGCACCTGAAAATCTTTATAGCATTTTCAAAAGTGAGCTGGGCAGACTTGAAGAGTCTGTAGAAGAGGCAGTCTGTGTATGCACCAAGGGCTCCTTTCAGAGCCAGCATTTAAAAAAAAAAAAAAAAAAAAAAAGGAGCAAACAGCTAAATCATAATTCCATGCAAGAATATGCTGCAAGGAATAGGCCTCCAGCATCCCCAAACACCCTTTCTTGTATGCCTCCTAAGCTTTCTGCTGAGGCACCTGCAAAGAATCCTGCCATAATAAAAGCAATTGCAAGTATTCAAGTGTCCCAGATCTTTCTGTATAAAACCAACCGATACTAGCTCAAATTCTAAACAAGCAAGAACAGTTTACTTGAAGAAACATTTACTTGGCTACAGTTACTGAGGAAGTCCATAGCCAGCTCAGGTCTCATGAGTCACAGCTGACTGCATTGCCACAAAAATCCTTCCTGCTATA